GTTAGTGAAGTGTTCTGAACAGACACATGGCACATCTGCAGAAGTCAGGCATCTGAGGGATTCTATGCAAAGTATAGGGTACTCAGTTCTGTCCATCTGTGAAAAGATCATTTGTATCATATCATACAAGTAGCTTTTGTGCTGGTGGACTTCACACTTTTCCAGCAAATCTCGCTGTCAGAGCAAGCACCAAAGTGGGCTCTACAGCTTGGAATGAAAAAACGAAATGCCCAGATAAGGGGTGACCTCATGTTTGTACCCATGAGATGTAGCAAGGATAGGGAACAAGCCACATCATAAGAGGTAGAGAAGGAAGTATGAGATCAGTCACCTTAAGGATGGAGTTCTGATTTTTTATTGATTTTGTTATCCTAGAGTTATATCCCTCTATACTGGCTCACACTGTGTTCCTTCTGCACCTTTTACTGACAGTTGTGTATTTCAGTTTCTTCATGTTTTATCTTTTCATTAAGTCCTTCTTTACCTGAAGAAAAAAAAAATTCCTAGTTGGAGCTGAGAGGAAAAGCATTCCTGGTTAGCCTGGGCCAGGTCAAGTCTTCCTGCTTTGTGCGTCCACAGCACCTGCAGGTCCCCATGATGGCAAACCCTTCAAGTCATAGAAATCACTAATTTAGTTGTCTCTCTTCTTACTGTGAGCTCATAGCGGACAGGGATCCTCTCTGGATTGTTTAGTGCCTGGCACTGTGTAGTACCCAAAACAATCATTGAATGGATGGTTGGATGGGTAAGTGGATGGATGGATGGATGGGTGGATGGATGGATGGATGGATGGATGAGTGGATGGGTAGATGGGTCATTGGGTGGTGAGTGGGTGGATGAATGGATGGAAGGGTGGGTGAGTGAGCAGGTGGATGGATGGATGGATGAGTGGATGTGTGGGTAGATGGGTGGATGGATGGATGAATGAATGGAAGGGTGGGCGAGTGGGCAGGTGGATGGGTGGGTGGGTGGATGGATGGGTGAGTGGGTAGATAGATGGTTGAAGATCATTTTTCATCTTATCACAGTAGTCATTAAAATCAACAGTAGCCCATTAACTCATGCCTACTGTTGTGATCACAGATATAATTGCTGCTAACGATTCTCATAGCTTGCTTGTACTATCAGAGATGTAATTATCAGTGCCTGTAAGCCACGCCGCAGGTAGCACGGACACAGATAGAAAACAGCACCTCGGGTTTAGAAAGTCCCTTGTGGATTGCAAAGTACTTTCATTCACATATGGCACTTCGTTTCAGTGTCATAAGAACCTCATAAGGGAGATTCACCAGGGGAAGCAGAAAAGCATCCTGATTAGGAGTGTGTCTCTCGACCCAGACTGCCTAGGTTCAAATCCCAGATCCACCACTCACTAATCATGTGATCTTGAGCAATTTACTTCATCTCTCTTGGCCTCAGTTTCTTCATATGTTCTAGAGATAGTAAGATCTCATAAAGTGGTTTTATGGATTGACAATAATAATCACAATCATTTGACTGCTTACTATGTTCTGGACTTGGTTCTAAGTATTTTAAATGAAATAACTCATTTAAGCCTCATAACATCTATGAGGTAGATACTCCTATTCCCTCTGCTTTTTGTAAGATAATTAAATCAAAGTTAATTTCCTTCCCATTCAGCTGGGAGATGAAGGAGTCAGAATTTGAACTCAGAATTAGTGGTTTCCAGAACCCTACATATAACGCCTTGCACCGTCTCTGAGATAGATGTTTCTGTAAAGCACTGAGAGTGCTTGGCACCTAATAAGCGCTCCATAAATGCTTATCATGTGCCCGTCAGGCAATGTTATCAAATATCAGTAGCCCCAAATTATAGACGCTGAAGCTAAGACACAGAAGCCAGGAGACTAGCTCAGAATCATGGGTGATTTCTACTGCCAGTAAGTTTAGTGCAGGTGTGGGGTGGTAAATGTTCACCAGCTTTGCCTTCACCCAATCCAGGCTTGTTGCTTAAGCGCCAAGAACTGAGGCCTCCTGGGGCTCCAGGTCAGTCCCAAATTCCTTCTGGACAGAAGGTCTGCATCTCTGCATTTCCTCATCTCAATTCTTGTCCCTGAGTAAGCAAAGCCTGTTCTGGAAAGTTCTTAGTCAAATCACCTCCCCGGCGCTCGCCCCTCCAGCGGGATTCAACCTTCCCCCAGCATCTGAGACCCATCTCTCCTAGAAGCCCCAGCCACTGCACTGGCCTGAAGGACCTCTGACCTCATTTCCTTCCTTCTTTCTGCCCCAACTGTAGCCCATTTGCCTCACTTTATCCTTGTCTTACTCCTGCCATTTGGATTTCCTCTACGCAGTTTCCTGAACATACACCAAACACATTTACACTGAGCAGGCAGCAGGAAGAGCACTGCTTAATGAAAAAGCTCCTGCCCAGTCCCTGCACGGACCTAGTGCCTCATCCAACCCTGAACAAGGTCCCACATGTTCTCAGAGGTCTCTCCTTGCCTCCTATGGCTGGCCCTAGACTGGGGAGGGAGCCGTGTTGAGGCTCTGTACTAGCTTGTACCAGGGGGAGGAGAGCATTCGGCCCAAATCCCAAATGCCAACACTCTCCCCAGAGAGGTTCAGCATCCTAGACCAAGCCCCTACCAGGCCCTTCTTATGGGGTGGTAGACAAGAGTCCAAGGTCTAAGGTTGAAAAGATCTTCCACTCCCTGGTACCTCCCCACTGTGTGACCTTGGACAAGTGACTTCACCCCTCTGAACCTCATTCTCTTGGTCTATAAAATGGAGATAATTATAGTATCCACTTCACGGGGTTGTAGAGAATGAGATAGTGTCTTGTTTGCTTTTCATTCATTCATTTATTCATTAACATTTGTTTACTAGGTAGCTACAAGGAGTCAAGTGTTTTTCTAGTCAACTCTCATAGAATTTACCTTGGATGGATGGTACAGAACTCATCCCACAGTGCCTGGTACATAGTAGATGCTTAAGAAATGGCAGGGGAGTATTGGTTTTTTTATTCACATTCTTGGTCCCTACCTCTCCTGCTCCTCTGAGGAATATATTGTTGGGGTCAAAACTTATGGATTCTATGGATGGTGTGTGTTCCATCCATGGCCAAGGAACATGGCCTCTCTTGAGTATTGTAGGTGGGAGCCCCAAGCATGCAGTTTCTTCGGTGTCTTGTGTCTCTGTGTCTCTGTGTCTCTTCTTGAGGCATCATATCCATTTTATGTTCTATTCTGTAAGAGACCTGTTGGTCCCAGTGTAAAAACAATCTTCCTACTACATCCCTGAGTAAAAGTGTCCCTTGTGTAAGACATTTAAGGTTTCTCCTGTGGCTCCAGCACCCCGTGACCCAAGACTGGGAAGCCTCAAATCCAGAAACACACTGGATTTGAATACGGTTTATAATTAGTTCTCAGTAAATTGGGAAGTAGTCAGGGGTGGGGGTAAGGAAGAGTGAGTGTTTTGTCCGCAATTTACGGATGAGTGAACCAGGACTCCAAAAACTGAAGGAAATTGCCCAGGGTCCCACAGCCAGGATTTGAACCCAAATCACTCCGATGCCAGTATACTGTGTTCTTAGCAACTGCCTGGCACAGTCCTCCCTCCCACCAGGGCTCTTGGGAGACAAATGCAGGAGCACCCCCTAGGGGAAGGGGAGGAGCCCGGGGCTGTGAGCCGGGAGACCATTTCCTTCCGCGCTCCTCAGCACTCTCACTCCGTGTGGCTCTGGAAGAGTGCTTTTCCCTCTCTGACTCTGAGCTTCAAGTTCCTCGCTGGGAAAGTGACTTAGCCCTAGAATGCCTCAAGCTCTAAAATGTGTGAAAGATGAAAGATTAAGATAGAGATAAGGCAGGGGAGGAGTTGGAGCTTGGGAGGGGGTCAGTCCTGCCTTCCTTCCCTTACCCCTTCCCCTCACTGTCCTGGGCCCAGGATGGCCAGCTGTCCATGACTGCTGGGCGGGGCTGGTCCCTGTGCCAGGCCCAGCCGAGCTCAGCTGGGGCCCTTTGTCACCCAACGCTTGCTGGGGCCTCGGCCTCCGGTGTTGGGTGTCGGGGCGGATTGGATTCTCTCCTGGCAGCCCCACAGATGCCGCAATCCTGCAAGGGTGGCCGGGCGGGCAGGGAGAAGCCGGAGCTCCCACCTCCTCCTGGGCTCCAGAGAGGGACGGGCGGCCGCTGTCCGTGGTGCTGGTCTATAGGGACCTCCTCCCCGCGCCAGGTGAGGGCTCCATGGACCTGAACTCATACTGGGACCAAGCTCTGGGCTCAATGAATTCTTGTGAATATGCATGAGCTGGCTTCTCCGGCCAGGCTGAGGGCCTCGATTAATACAGTGGGGGCCTGTGGGTGCAGGTGGAGGGCTTTCTCCCATCCCCATGCCTGTGAGACCTGAGTGGGGAGATATGTGGGAGAAGAGTATATTGGTGGACACAGGTGGCATGGGTGGGGGGAGGATTTGTGGGGTGGCGGGGAACCTGGGAACTGTGCATTTGGGGGAGTGTATCCCAGATTGTGTGGACATGGAGCATGTGTAAACATGTTGAGGATAGTGAGAGAAAGAGGGAAATGGAGTCTGGGTGTGCTCAGAGGGCCTGTGAGCACAGCAATTCTTGAGGGAAAAGGGTGAGGAGGTTAAGTTGTATGGCTCAAAGCTGGTGCATGAGGCCTGGGTGTTGATGTGTGTGTGGCAGTGGCGCAGGGCACAAGGACATGCCAGAAAGCATGTGTTGGGGGATGTGTGTACACACAGGGTGTGTGCTGTGAAGCCAGTGTGTTCCACAGCACAGTTCACAAATAGGGAGTTAGAGTGTGTTATGGGGCTATGCCTTGAGGGTGGCATATCGTGGAGTGCCGGGGTTGGCGCTAGTACCATTAGATTTACAGTGTGAGCTGGTGTGTTAGGGTGCGTGTGTGTAGTCAGTGTTGTTTGGGTTGCTGTGTGTGTGCCTGGGGCCTTCCTGAGCACCTAGCCCATGTGGCCTCCAGTGCCTGGCCTTTGTCACTCACTCTGTACTTATCCCACAGGAGCCACCACCCCTGACCATGTAGATGCCAGCTCCAGGGAGCAGCATGGGCCCTAATGAATGGAGACTCCTGGGTCTACAGCCCTGAGCCCCTCTGGCCCCTGGACCTCGTCCCACACCGGGAGACACCCCTTGGAGCTCATCACCACTGTCACCAGCCCGCCTCGGCCACCCCCACCCCCTGGGACCCGGAGTCGGCCACCTGGTGCCACAGCTGATCAGTGAGGGTGTGCTGAGGACAGCCACAAGCAACCATCACCCAGCAGCCTCTTGTCCAGCGCTGACCCTCGTGCCCAGCCTGAGCAGGGACCGCAGCAAACATGGGTGACATGACCAACAGCGACTTTTACTCCAAAAACCAAAGAAATGAGTCGAGCCATGGGGGTGAGTTTGGGTGCACAATGGAGGAGCTCCGCTCCCTCATGGAGCTGCGGGGCACTGAGGCTGTGGTCAAGATCAAGGAGACTTATGGGGACACCGAAGCCATCTGCCGGCGCCTCAAAACCTCACCTGTTGAAGGTAAGTGTTTGAGACTTGAACCTAGCGCTGCAGCCTAGGTAGCCACCATCTGAATTGGCCACAGGGGCCATATTCATAATACGTAACAGCAGGGATATGTCAGAAAAAGACTGAAATGCCAGAATGGCCATTGTAGTGCATTCTAGCTGAGTGTCAGCCCCTCTGAATAGGCTGAGGAACAGGGTTTCATCACTGGTTGGATGTGACCCCGGCCACCCTCAGAGAGAACAGCAGGAAAAGAGCTGGGTCAAGACTGTGTTCTGGAGACAAGGGGCCCCACAGCCGCAGAGTGACAAGTTCAACATTCTGTTAATATGGGAGGCACCAGTCTCTGAGGCAGAGGCAGAAGGGCCACTGGGTAGAACCAACATGGAACCTGCATCCAAGCCCAGGAGGGGCTTCTGCTTTCCCCAGTTATCCCACAGTGGTTGGATTTGGGGTTCCAAGCATGCAGGCCTGGTCCTTCCTTCCCCAGGCCCCAGAAATTCCCTAGTGTGGGCTTGAGTGTGGAACTGTAGCACCACCAACTTGCAGTCAATCCCCTGACACTGGGCTAGAATCAAGTCTGTCTCTCAAATCCAGACTCTGGTTGGGGATCGCTGGGGCTCTGGGGTATCATGGCTCTAGAGTTGCTGGGCAGACAAAGCAGTAGGAAGATGGCTGTGATGGGAAGGGTGACAGATGGCGTTGTGTGTCCTGCCCTGAGGGTGCAGTGGGGCTTTCTTGCAACTGCCAACTTGAGCAGGCCTGGGATCTTTAGAGAGAGTGTGTTTCAGCTCCTGGGGGCTCTTCTGGAAGGGACCAAAGCTAGGTCCTCTGCCCCAAAACAGAGACAAGAGAAGTCAGCCCAACTTGGGCACCAGAGCTCATGGTTTGGGTTACCTGCCACAAGTTACCCTCAGCTCACCATGGAAAGGAAGCATTCCCTACATTAACCCTACAGGCATGCGTGTGAGGCTCTGCACTGACACTCCCAACCCTGCAAGTTTGTGCAAAACTGCACTGAGCCTCAGTTTTCTTCTCCTGGAAAATGGACCAATGCCTACCTGACAATGCCTAGTGCATGGCTGAGCATACAGTAGGTGCTCAAAGTGGCAGCCATGATTATTCTAAGAAGTGGATGTCAGGTCCTTCCCCAGATATCGACCACCACCTGGGAGGCAGGCAGCATCAGAACTGTTATCCTCTTTAACAGAAGAGGAGCCTGTCTCCTCTGTCCAGTCCTCTGAGCCCTGGGCCCTGCTGGACTCTAGCCCTGGAAGCATTTCCGGCAGGGGCTGCTGGGTCCCACCAGGGCTTGCCTGGCAGTCCAGGGGTCATGTGTGCCTACACTCCACTACACTCAGCAACTCCCAGCTGTCTGTGTCTCTCTTTGTCTGCTCTCCTGGGTCAGAAAGAAGATAAAACTGGTTCTTCTTCCCATATTGACTATTCTCCCTGACATTTTGCCCACAGCCTGGGCCCAGGCAGAAGTTTAGAAACACCTTTTCTCACTGGGTGCTATTTGTTTTGTTTTGGCGGGGAGGGTGGGAATAGAAAAAGTAACCTTTCCTCATAGTATGGTTCTAGCACGGGGCTTAAAAACAGTTGCTTGTGGCCCTAAGATGGGCATAGGCTTTGCTTGGAGACTTCTGGGTCCCAGCCTCTTGTGGTCACTTATTCCTGGCAGAATGGTCCGTGCTCCCCTCCACCATCAGGTTGGTACATGAGGACTGCTGGCAGGCAGGGTTGTTCAAGTGGCCTTTGCCTGTTGATTGGGGACTGGGAGGTTGCCTTGAATCAGGAATTCTTACATGTCTCTCAGCCCCAGTCCCTGGGGAGGAGCTGATGGGCACTGTGGCCCCTCTCTTGGAAAATCAGCCAACCATATGCAACAGGTGTGGCTCACACTATTTGTGGGCTTCCAGACCCCCTCAAAGCAGTGTTGTGAACCCTAGTTAAGAAAACCACCTACCCCTCCCACCAGAAGGGCTCCCCAGAGCTGGGAAGTTGAGCAGCACATGGCCAAGTTCCAGCACCCTTACAGGGCCATTTCTGGCTGGTTCCTGGGAGCCTACTCTGTACTGCTAGAGGGAGCATTGCCTAGCTGAGGCAAGAACCCTATTTGCTCTCTCTGTACACCCCGTGCCCAACCTGGTGCCTGGCACAGAAGAGGACCCAGTAAAACCCTGAGACACAGCTACTAAGTCCCAGCCTAAGGTGGGGGAGCTCTCAGACAGCTAAGCAGCCCAAACTGCAGATAATCAAGACCAAGTGCAGCAAGGACTCCAGGACTCACCACTGGTGAGGCTGCTGGGCAGTGAAGGTCAGGGAAGGCTTCGTGGAGTGGGAGGTGTTTGGACTTGGTTATGGAGGAAAGAGAAGGGAAAGCATGTAGAATGGCCTACAGCAGCGTTTCTTAGAGGGAATTCCACAGTATAACTGGCATGCTGCAAGAAGTGAGGCTTTAAGTGAAAAGTAAAGAACTCTGTTTTCTCATCTGTAAAATGGAAACAATAATGACATCTCTATTGCTGTGCCCCTGCCAGCCATGTGCCTTTGGGCCTTTTCGTCTGACCTCTCTGAGCCTTGGTCTCCTGATCATTCATGAGAACCAAATGAGATCTCTGATGGGCAAGATCTCTGAGAAGAAGAAAAGCCCATCATAGCATTCCCTGGATCTCCTGCCACATTGGTCCCTAGAAGCATCTCCCAAGGGCCTGGGAGGTACAGGACTGGAAGAAATTTGGGGAGGGGCAGAAGAGCATAATGCCACAGACCCAAACTTGGGCATCCCGGGTTCAAATCTCAGCTTTTCCATTTGCATGCTGTGGGACTCTTAAGTTACTCAAACTCTTTGTGCCCCCATTTCCTCATCTGTAACTCAGGGACAGTAATAGTGACTACCTCACAGGGCTGGGGGAGGACAAAATGAAGTAGCTTAGACCAGTCCCTGACACACGGGTAGTTCTGTGTGGTAGGATTGAGCCCCAGTGACTAAACACCTCCATTTCCCCACCAATCAAATAGGCTGTGAATACTGAATAAAATCAAGTCAAGTGCCCAGCATCAAAGTGCTCAGTAAATGTCAGCTCTTGTCATTGTTTTCATGATGAGTATCATCACTCGGGAAAAAGCGGGCACGTTCTCCGGAAAGGGTGGAATGGTGGCCAATGTCCGCACCTGAGAAACATTTTGTACAAGGCTGTTATGCATCTCTATGACACGTGTTCCTAGAAACAGGTGCTGTTACCCCATTTTATGGAGGGGGATATGAAGGCTTGAGGTCACTGCCACAGTTCATGTCAGAGCAAGCTTTGAACTCAGCCCCATGCTCAGACCTGAGCCAAGCACGGTCACCTGGGAACAGTCGTCTGGCGTCCACTGTAGGACAAGGCCTGAATAGTGTGGGGCCAAGGGACACTTCCTTTACTGCCTCATATGGAGCATCTGTCCCATCCTGCTTGGCCATCTTCTGATTTAGAGAAATCCTTGGCACCGCCCCAGCCCCAGTTTAAAAGCTCTGTGGTCTGGGCTGTGCCAGCTCCAGACACAGGGACTCAGGTTGACCATTCCCAACACCCCCTACCCCTAATCTGCTGACGTGAGCAGGGAGCTGGCCTCTGAGTCACACTGCAGGAAACGCTCCAGGCCACACATAAATTAGCCTTCCCATTCAAGTCCAGCTAATTTTAGGCAAAAAGATCTCTGAAAGTGACAAATGGGGTTTGAGGCCACAGGGAATCAGTGCTCACCCAGGGCACCACTGGCAACCAGCTCAGGGTATGGCTCAGCTCCCACAGCCCGGCAGTACTGGATGTCCCACCTGGAGACCCAACTTTGGTGACACCTGTTGGGTAAACTGGCCCCCCCATGAGGCTGTGAGGCCAAGGGCAGCCTCTACTCGTATCTAAGCTCCACTCCTTTCCTCGTCCACTGTTGGTTCTCTTCCATTCTGATTAACACCTTTATCTTCTTACCTCTACTGTTCCCTTTCTTTCCACACTGTTCCAGCCAAGGACATTAAAATCCCAGAAATCTGAGTTCCATTCCTGAGTGTCTTTCTCTTCAAGAGACACTGGGAGAGTTCAATTTAACCTCTGAACCTCAATTGACTTATTTGTGAAGTGAGGGTAATAACAGTACCCACCTCATGCAAATGGTGTGAGGATTAAATTAGATAAGCCACTGTGCAAGGCAGACCCTAGACACCAACAGAGTGGTGTTTATTATCATTGTTATTATACTCCAGTGTTTCTTTTAAAAACAGCATGCATGGGCCCCATCCCCTTGAAAGAATTAGGCAGTCAGATAAGACAGTGGCGGTGCCCAATGCAGAGTTAACATGCCATCAGAGGAGGTGGAAAGATGGGTGGCTAATGCCAGGTGGTCCGGGAGGCCTAGAGGCAGGAGCTCTGTGTCATTCTCCACCATGTCTCTAACACTTGATGCATTGCCTGGGAGCTCCAGAAATATTCATGGAAAGAAGAAAAGGAGGAAGAAAGAAGAGGCAGAAGATGTCCCAGTGCCCCTCCTTTCATGGGACAGAAGGCTGCAGGCTTGGGGACAGCCACAGGACACCCTGTGTCACCCATGGAGCAGATGGCTCCAGTTCCCTGAGCCCAGCGTTGCGCTGCCCTGAGCCATTGCACACACATCCCTCATTGTTCACTTCCTGACACCTGCACCCACCTCGGGTTGTCAGAAAGGGTGACGATGATAGGTTGCTGTTGGGTGTTTGCCACGTAGCATGTTTCCTGGCGGGCTTGATAAGGGGGACAAAGATGGGGCGGCAGCAGGGTGGAGTGGGAACTGGATACTGCAGAGTGCTGTGAAACGGAACCTCCGGTTAATTTTGTATGAATCCCACAGCCTGCCCAAGTAGAGGAGAGAGCAGGGCTGAGGCAAAACAAGAGAGCAGATCATGGGAGATGGCGGGTGCTTTGTGCTGCATGTGAATATGATATTGAACGAGAACGTCCATGGGGCTGCCGCTAGCTGAGTAGCAGGAGGATGTGGAG